AAATAACCTTCATTTAGTTCTCTGAATGTTATTAAGCTTTCTAGAAGTGGCTAATAGGACAAGACATGTTGTCTTTTCACTCGGCCGACCTTTGTCTTTGTAATTATGTGAATAGATTTGCTTTTTGTTTCAATTGTAAGCCCTTTGGGGATAGCGGGGCGTGGCATTATACTTCACCTCAAATAAGCTGTGATTGAGAATAGCTTGAAGACATCTAGAATAGCGTATTTCATGTAGCGTGAAAATTTATGATATTTTAAACACAGAAGTAAGTGTATAAACTGCATATTTTTTTTATTGCCCTTGTAGGCAGACGAGCATACGGCCCACCTGATGGTGAGTGGTTATCGTCGCCCATGGACTTCAGCAATGCCAGGGGCAGAGCCAAGCCGCTGCCAAATTTACGTCACACTTCAATTCTATATTAAAATGATTTCCTTTGACTTGTCACCAGTCAGACAGTAGTTTTCGTTTAGATCACTTTTAATTGTGAAATCGAGCGTTTCTAATCTAGAATAAATAATCTGTAAAGGCATGATAATGAATTGGACACAGAACATGAGAATCAGTAAATTTAACGTTTCAAACCATCGTAACTTACGTAAAATCCGATGGTAAATTCATTGAATTCTTTTAAATTTTTATTGCGTAGATGGGTGGACGAGCTCACAGCCCACCTGGTGTTAAGTGATCACTGGAGCCCATAGACAACTACAACGCAAATGCGCCACCCACCTTGATATTAGTTCTAAGGTCTCAGTATAGTTACAACGGCTGCCCCACCCTTCAAATCGAAACGCATTACTGCTTCACGGCAGAAATAGGCGGGGCGGTGGTACCTACCCGTGCGGACTCACAAGAGGTCCTACCACCAGTAATTAACAATTATATCGTTTACGTAAACAGAAGTTACTGATGACACTAATATCACACGGGAATCGTGTGACTAAACATAACTTAAAGATGTATGAATTGGTACGTGTGAACCTACTGTTGTAATTTGGCTTAAATTATGAACAGTTTTGATAAGAGAAATGTTTTTTTTTTTAATAATATAACATGTAAAAGTTTCGTGAGGAGGCGGCGTCCTAAAAAGACTTTGATGGCCTAAGTGAAAGAGGATATGCGAGGTAAAAGTGTGAGTGCAGAGATGACGTATGATAGGTCCGAATGGAATAAATAATAGTTTAAAAAAACTAACAAAATACGCTTTTATAGAAAATCCAACTAAAAAATAAAAAAAATATTTTAATAAATTTGAATTAAAAATAGTGTGAGAAAAAATGATTTTATTGTAAAAAAAGCGTGGGGTGCATGGTATCAGTAGTTATAAATATTTTATGAACAGATATGAGTAGAAGGGTTATTTTGATAATATCCTGAAAAGCACCCCGGGCTCAAACCGGGACAAGCCACAAGGGCAGTGCTTCGCAGAATCTACCACCGGATCGGAAACGCGACCCACTGAGAAGATCCGGTGAGAAACTCAGTGGGCTGTGTCTATGGGTTAATTTACTCGTCGAGCACTTCGTCGCAAGCGCGGGTTCGGCGAGGTCGGTGACCGATGCTTGAGTTACCTAAAAGCGCCGTTAATGGATCGGGAGTTACCGTAATGACTCGTTCAGGGCGACGTCGACTGTTTACCATTCGGTCCACCGGATAGGGTATGTATGTAATTACTGGCGGCCACGACAAGAGGGTTTTCATGTCGTGCCGCCTTCTCACAGTGGCACAGTGGTGATAGACAAAATTACATCATGAAATTCGTTTAATCCGATCAAACATTTTTTTGCCCAGGCAACATTTTGTTTTTTTTTTACATTAAGCCATGAATACCCTGTCTTATCGTGGAGACGACTAGAACCGATCTTGATAGGCCTGTATCGAGAATGCCAAATTTTCGGATCAATGGGCAAATCTGCCGGTTGTTCCCTGTTCGAATCCGTTGACGTAGAAGGGACTACCAAAATTCAAGCAAAACAAGATAGTAGCTGAATAACAGTATGGTTTGAATGTATTCAACATACGATGAAAGCCAACGAACCTTAAAGTGTAACGAAAATAATTGAATATACTTTACTTATTTCATTAGTGTTTAAACAAAACACATAGTTATAATACAGCTCTATAAAATAAAATAAAAGTAAAAAGATCATATCACATCTTGAAGAAATCTCGGTCAGCAGATGTTTGGAAATAATGAAACAAAATGTGTTTGTGTGTTGTAATTTTATTATTCATTTTACTTTAAAATAATTATCTCTGAAGTACACAGTTCGAGAATATCTTGTTATCTTCATTAGCGATCGCATACCCAGTCACTGCTGCGAGAATTTTGAACAGTGATTCTTGTACACGACGTTTCTAGAGATCATTTTTGCTTAACACCACCTCTGCCTAAAATTCAGGAGATACGTCCATTGCCGCTGCTTTTCGGCACAGAAGCAATGAAATGGGTCCACGTATTTACTCATCTTGGTGCCCTAAATACGTCATTACGGATCCTCCCGATCCATTAACGGTGCTTTTAGGCACCACAAGCACCGGTCACCGACCTCGCCGAACCCGCCGCTTGCGACGAAGTGCTCAACGAGTAACCAATAGACACAGCCCACTGAGTTTCTCACCGAATCTTCTCAGTGGGTCGCGTTTCCGATCTGGAGGTAGATTCTGCGAAGCACTGCTCTTACTAGGGCCAATGTTAGCAACACTCCCGGTTTGAGCCCCTTGAGCTCACCCACACGTCAAGGAGAAGCTGAAATAGCCTCTCAAGGCTATCAGCATAGGTAGGAAAAAAACATCTTGGTATTAAATACGAACACTTACATCGTGTTACTGGTTTACAATAGTAATTAATATAGCTGTTTCAACGGACAAAAGCAGATGAAATATTGAGTTTTAATGCACCTACCACAGAACTCATTAAGATCCATCGGCGTTAACGGTGCCGTAATGATCAATTGAATAGCCTGGTTCATATTGTTCAAGTACAATGGCTTGAATACTATAAAGTTTTTTTTTTTAGAAATATACTATTATGTCAGGTAGTCGTGCGTTTGGATGAAGCGCGTCTTCGTCTCATTATAATGAATGTCTTTGGTGAAAGTTCAAACAGCATAATTTTGTTTGTGTTGGTATTTTTATTATTTTCATATTCTTCTTCCTGGTTAAAAATTTTTCTTATTGTTGGTGTCTAGATATGCCCGTTGCGTCCGAAATTCGCTGTTGAACTTTGCCAAATACTTTTTTTTATGATTGAAAGATTATTGGTGGCCCGAAGGCCTTTCCAGTTTCACCAGGACAAGTGGGCGAGCAAAGGCTCAGCCAGGAGGGGTGGGATTTGCTAACAACTGCCCGAGCGCCTACGAAGGAGACCTAACAACTCAAGAGCAATTGTTTCGTGAATGAATCTTCTACCGGATCGGAATCGCGACCCACTGAGAAAATCCGGCGAGAAACTCAGCGGGCTGATGCATGGGTTAGGTTGCACGTCGACCTCTTTGTCGAGTTCGACGAGTACGGTTACCGGGGTCTCTAAGCCTGCTCCTAGTATTAGAGCTGAAGGCGTCTAACGCAAAGGTTATTGGATCCGATGGATCCGTAAGGACGTGTCTAGGGCGTCGATGGTGACTGACTCCTGTGTGATCAGGATTCGGGGAGTAGTCAGCGGCGGCAACGATAAGGCGATTATCATGACGCATAGCCTTATCGAAGTACCGTTCCGACGCTGACTTCACGTATTTCGTTTGTAATTGATTCGAGGCCCAGGTCGTCGTGTAGGTCAACGTTCCTCACGAACCACGGAGCCCCGACAGCTAACCTGCAAAAGCGGGATTGTAGGGATTGGAGGGTGTCTACGTGTGTGCGGGCCGCGTGAGCGAACACCACACTCGCGTAAGTCATGACGGGGCCAAAATACTCTAGTTTGTTGCTATTTTTGAATTTGCTATTTTCCGATATGAAGTACAGGTAAATATTAATTATAATTCCTTGGACTGGATTTTTTAACCTTTTCCGAGGTTTCGGCATGGCTATACAATCTTTTTATAAGTAATCTGAAAATATGATCGAAACTATAGCCAATATTTTAATTGCGTATTATCCACTATATATATATATTGGTCTGCTGATGCGACTTACCCCTACGGCTCTGAGATGGGTACTGAAGCTATTTGAGAGAGCACGATAAATACGAACTTTTTCGAAAAATTACGAAGGAATATCTTTTCTCACTATATCTGTATCATGACTTTTCCGGATATAATTATTTAGCATTTTGTTGTCAAACACAAACACCCTTGCTTCTTTCTTGAACAATGGACACTTGAACAAATCATTTTGTAGCTATTATCTATAATAAATGCATTGCTGTTCGTTAGTCTCGCTAAAACTCGAAAACGGCTGGACCGATTTGACTAATTTTGGTCTTGAATTATTTGTGGAAGTCCAGTGGAAGTCCAGAGAAGGTTTAAACGGTAGATAAATATGAAAATGCTCGGAATTAAATAAAAATAACAATTTTGTTTTTCCTTTGATGTGTCCCCCGTCGGACGGATTTCTTTTGTTTGTTTTAAGTTTATTTTATGCAAAATCTTAGGTCTTTTATTTACCGATTGAAGCACTACGAAGTCTGCCGGATCAACTAGTAGAATATAGAAATTTGTCGTTTAAGACAAACTTGTATATGTACAAGTTCTGAACGAGAACATTAGAATAGAATGTGCGTATCAGTTTCAACACGCGACTGAAGCTTACTATTCAAACGTGATTGGCATTGAATAGACAAAGTATTAAATATATATATATGTAAAAGGAATAAACAAATAATATTATCATACTGAAAGAAGTATTTAACACAGACGAGGGATAATAAAAAATCTTGGATACAACAATAATTTATTAACTAATTTGTACTCAAAATATGTATTATATACATCTTCTAACAGCATATACTTCTATCAACCACCACAATTCTTCAGTGTTAAAATTGATGCTTTAATATATATTTCTTTCCTATTTACCATTCCAGCATATACGCCAGTATGTAGTATGTCAGTATCTGCAGAATTTCGTGTAGCAGTGACTTGAAAATTTGAACATATTACATTTTTTCTCAGATGACAATGAAATAGAAATCTTTCTTGAATTAACAAAATATGCTTTCAAGTTCGTTCTATAGCCTGGTACTATTTTTGTATATTAAAAACTGTTGTTATGAAGAGTATGTTAGAAGATATAGAGTATTATAGTAATTCAAGTAGTGAAAATCGCTGGATTACTTTGGATGCAGGTGACAACGGACCGGCCGCAATGGAGATCGATTGGAGAAGCCTATGTTCAGAACACCTATAGGTTGTGATGATGATGAAGACAGAAAAATGCACAATTTAAGTCAGCGGCATACCTAACTATCGGAAAGCTAGTAAATTCTGGAACAGTCTGACAGGTGACGAGTAACAGAACGACCTCCCTCTCGGGCAAGAGTATCTTCTTACGCACATCGCGAATAATCTGTTGGAAAAAGAAAATGTTTTTATTTATTTCGTTGAAACTTTGAGAGCCGTTATTTAAATAATTTGCGAAACGATAAATCTTGATTGTGGTCTATAAGTTCTAACTATAATAAACGTACTGGGTTATGGAAATTAAGGAAACATTAAAAATATATATAGGTAGACATAGGGACTGCCTATAGAAGTGAAAACTTATATTTAATTCATTGAAATAACAATTAATATACCAATCACTTTTTACTGAGCCTTTTTCCTATTTTATTTGTGAAGATATACACAGCACTAGTGCTGCACAATACGTCGCCTGTATCGCTACAGATACACCGCTATTACGCATGTCGGTGACGCGAACCCATAACGTTTTCCCTTGCTAAAAAGTACTATTACCATATAGATTAGTATCACCGGTTCAATCTGAGCGAATTGCTACACCAGCCCTAACATCAGCAGTGCTTCGCTGAATCTACTACCGGATCGGAATCTTACTGGTGGTAGGACCTCTTGTGAATCCGCACGGGTAGGTACCACCACCCTGCCGTGAAGCAGTAATGCGTTTCGGTTTGTAGGGTAGGGCAGCCGTTGTAACTATACTGAAACCTTAGAACTTATTTCTCAAGATGAGTCGCGCATTTGCGTTGTAGATGTCTATATGGTCTAGCAACCACTTAACACCAGGTAGGCAGTGAGCTCTTCCACACATCTAAGCAATAAAAATAAAATCGCGACCCACTCAGAAGATCCGGCGAGAACCTCAGTGGGTTATTATCATCAGTGACTCAAGAAGATGATCTCATGTATCAAGATTTTAGGCTTATAGGGTTGATGATAACGCTTTTTTTATTGCCCCTGTTGGTAGATACGGCCGTCAGCAATGTCAGATACAGAGCCAAGCCGCTGCCTACCGCTGAATCTAAGTGAAATACTAAAGAACCCACTATGAACATTATTTATAGCGAACTGTTTCCATAAACAAAACGTGTATCAAACTTTATCTATATATGAATACGTGAAGCAAAAACTTTGTACCTCTTTTTACGCAAATTGCGCGGACGGAGGAGTATGAAATTTCCCACACTTATAGAGAAGGAGTGCACGATGCTTTTTTTTTTAATAATGCATAAAAGATACATTAAATGAATAAAGAAAACATTACACACACTGTCATGTATTTGACACACATACATATATATAACTAGTCAGGTCATAAGTATTGTCACACAGTAAAAACTTTTCTTTTAGAATGCTGGCCACAAAAAAGTTTATTGAATTCGAATTTCGAATTGTTCATGAAAATAAAAATGTATACTTTTAGAATTTTACTCATTTTTAAATATGGAGTGGACCCTTAAAGAAGACCGTGTTGCAGTTATTGCGTTGCATCGTTGCGGTTACGCGCCAATTCAAATTTTTAACATACTGAAAAATTTGAATATAACCAAAAGATTCGTTTATCGTACCATCAAACGATACAATGAAGTCTCTAGTGTAGATGACAGGTCAAGAAGTGGTCGCCCTCGGTTTGTTAGGACTCCAGCAGTGATAAAAGCTGTGAAGGCGCGAATTCAAAGAAATCCCAAACGTAAGCAGAAACTGTTGGCCCTTCAGATGGGGTTAAGCAGAACCACGGTGAAAAGGGTGTTAAATGAAGACTTAGGGCTTCGGGCATATCGAAGAAAAACAGGACATCGTTTGAATGCTCGTCTAATGGACCTGAGACTGAAGAGATGCCGCGCTTTGTTGAAGCGGTACGCGGGAAAAAAATATCGGGAAATTCTTTTTTCGGATGAAAAAATTTTTACCGTAGAAGAGAGCTACAACAAACAAAATGATAAGGTGTACGCACACAGTAGTGAAGAAGCGAGCAACCGTATTCCGCGTGTCCAACGAGGTCATTTTCCATCCTCGCTCATGGTATGGTTGGGAGTTTCTTATTGGGGCTTAACAGAGGTACATTTTTGTGAGAAAGGTGTAAAAACGAATGCAGTTGTGTATCAAAATACAGTCCTGACGAACCTTGTGGAACCTGTTTCTCATACCATGTTCAATAACAGGCACTGGGTATTCCAACAAGATTCGGCGCCAGCTCATAGAGCGAAGAGCACACAAGACTGGCTGGCGGCGCGTGAAATCGACTTCATCCGGCACGAAGACTGGCCCTCCTCCAGTCCAGATTTGAATCCGTTAGATTACAAGATATGGCAACACTTGGAGGAAAAGGCGTGCTCAAAGCCTCATCCCAATTTGGAGTCACTCAAGACATCCTTGATTAAGGCAGCCGCCGATATTGACATGGACCTCGTTCGTGCTGCGATAGACGACTGGCCGCGCAGATTGAAGGCCTGTATTCAAAATCACGGAGGTCATTTTGAATAAACTTTAGTGTCATAAGAATCTATGTTTTGTTAAGTTCATTTTGGTATATGAATGGTTACATAATGAATAAACTTGTTTCAATTATTTTACATTAAACATGTGACAGAATTTATGACCTGACTAGGTATATAAATACTCTTTGTTTATTGTCAAACTTTAGTTAATGCTTAAAGTCTGTGGTAAATTGGAAAAATGGTTAATATTGTTTATCTTTAATATTATTTGTCTATAGTGTAGTCTTGGCGAAATCTGTGTTTATAGAAGCATAATAATAGTTTTTGACAATATAACCATAATAATGGTCAAACTTATAATTTAAATAAATTATAGTCGAATTTCGATTACTGAGGGACCACTAGTGTGAATAAATGGACAAGAGTTAATTCGATGAAGAAGTTTCCGAGATAATATTTGGGAGTTCTGTGGGTGGCGGTCATCTGATTTCGCGCTGAAAGTCGATAATTTTTAATGGAATTTAAAATTTTCCCTTAACAGGATTATCCTTCCGTAGGCAGCCCTCTCCGCGGATTAATGCAAGACAAACACCGTTGTCATTAAGCGCCACCAAAATAATTACTTTACTTTAGTCGTTTGTATTAGATAAAAAAATCAGTGTTTTTAATGTAGAACATGCAATTTTTTTAGTTAAACATGAAGTAAATTTTAGTTAAAATAAGTACAAAGGCATAGCTCATTAATGAAATTAAGTAATAGAGTAATAAATAGCTACTGGAAAAACAGATTTAGAAAAAGTGTATACAAAAATAAAACGCGAATTTCTTCCCTAGTTTTTTAATTTATTATCTTTTACTTTATTTTGAACTTATTTTTTTTCTAGAACTTCGAAGCGTTACAAAATCAACTCTTGTGAGTACCCAATTAATGGAAGGTTGTAAGATAGATTAAGAATTGCTGCTAAAATGGAATAATTTAAGAAATGTCCAATTATACTTTACGTCACTTTACTTTAGTAAAAAATAGATTAACAAAGAATAAATTGAGTTGGTTATAAGTTCATTTAGTTTTTAAGGTATTAAAAAATGTGACACTCAAAACGACACAGCACTTCAGAAAAGAAAAGAGAAGAAAAGAAGAGAAAGAAAAAGAAAATTACCTGTCGCATTCACAAAGTCTCGCGGCGCATCCATTAACATATTGGTCCTGACTCTGATAGTTCTCCAAAGCGCAGAGTGGCTCTCCTCTGTAGCACTTCCAGTAGTACGGCTGGAAGTATACCGTGAAGAAGGGGCAGTAGATATTCTCATAGCACTGGTCGTGCATCTTGCAACACCTGCATTTTAAATTTTATCACCTAAATTTAAGTAAATTTTGACACTTTCGACATTTTTAACGACACGTTTTTTATAATTGAAAGATTACTGGTGGCCCGGAGGCCTTTCCAGCTTTACCAAGACAGGTGGGCGAGCAAAGGCTCAGCCAGGAGAGGTGGCATTTGCTAACAACTGCCCGAGCGCCTTCGAGGGAGACCTAGCAACTCAAGAGCAATTGTTTTGCGAATGATAACGACACGTGTCCTGGTCTCAAAAACAAACTAGTATCCAAGTTCCTTTGTTTATAATTGATGAGAGAATGTTAAGTAGTTAACTCTTGTTTTCATGTTCTTTTCAAAACTTTTATTGTCGTACTGTTAACATTTAAATTTAGCCTATTTTTCCGCTGTTTGTAAAATTGTTGTAACATGTCATAGTGTGTTGTTATAAGAGATTGCTGTACATGCCTGTAACTGGCTTACATACCAGTACTTAATTTTAAGCTTGAATGTTTTGTGTGTATTGCTGTTGGTGTGTCTAAATAAATAAATTTTACAGTTTCATGGCCAACAAAGATAGACCCCTCCCTTTAAAAAATACATTGCTACCTGTCTATACCATCTGTGGGTCTTCCAGTTCCAAGAAATCCACAGTAACAACCATACCCCTTATACGACAGAGGCTCACATCCAGTGGCGCACTGTATCATATTATACAAGTGGAAAACACCACGTTTACCCCGATTATCCATTTTATACGAATTAGGATTCACGTATCTGAAAATAAAAGAGGTAAATATAAACATATAGGAAAATACAATTTGAATTTAAATTAAAATTTACAGAAGGCCTCATGTTACAAGTTATAATAGTTAAGATATAATAGAAGATATAATGGTTATACGACTTCAGTTTCAGTAACTGACCATATTTTCGTACCAGAATTCTTGTCTTGATCTCGGGAACAGAAGTTTGGATATCCTGCCTATTTTTATATTATAGCCATAGCCAATCGCTTTGGTTTGCGTTTTCGAGTTTTAATGGTCAACAAGTGTGTGTAATGAGGTTGGTAACGCATTGGATTGGTTGTTTGGATGCCGCAGAGTTAAAACCGTTCGTTTGCCCAACTTGTACAATATACACCTTTTGTAAATATTTTATGTGAATATGTTAACCAGAATAGCATTAGACTATAAGTTGTTTGTCCTTCCTAACCTTCTAACAATCTGTTTTGTCATATATATTGTTTGCTTTGATTGTTTGTCTTGTTTTAGGTAAGTAATTCAGAGACATCTGGGCACAACCAAAACCACAGACCAAGCCCTATAAACTGGATTGTGGTGAAATCAAAAAGGACCGCCATTATAAAAGAAATTGATTTGAATCATTAGCTCAACATCTGGGTCTAAAAAGTGCTCTTAAAGAATTTAGGTAATGCTAACCTACCTCACACCCTTGGCATAATCCTCGTGAGGCACTGAATACCTGAAAGGATCTCTCGCGAAGCCGACAAGCAGTTTCGCTTTATCTTTATAAAATTTCCTATAATCTATTTCGTTCCCTTTGGCTGTGTCATCGTAGTTACTACGGTTGCTACTGCTAGTTTTGACTTGATTTTTGTATGGCTTCGTTATATACCTGATTTGGGCATAATGTGAGTTGTTGTATATTTTATCATAGGTCAATTGACGTGTCCAATCTGTAACAGAAGAAAGGCAGTTATATTTTAGAAGATCAGTAAATAATTATAATGAAGATGTGCTAATTAGGTATGTTTTAGTTTTGGATCTCTTTGTTTGTAATGTGTTCGTGTTCGATTTTTGTATGATCCTCGCGTCGAATTATAGTGTTAATCGTGGGATCTCTTCTACCTAACCTGACTTAAGTTTCGTTTGAGGCGGGGAATTCGACATCGGGAAGGGGTGATTGATGGGGTTTAGTTTTAGTTGTTAGGATAATTTATTAAATTACATTGTAAAGTTTACCATTCAGGCTCGTTGCAACCTGTAAAGTTATTGAAAACTGAAATTATTCTATTCTGGAATAAGTCCTACTTACGCAGTTACAGTTACAGGAACGCATTACTGCGTCAAGGCAGAAATAGGCAGGGACCCACAGGCGCGGACTCATACCATCAGTAATTATGTAAATTCAGGTTTTGCAGGTATGATTTTTATTACATGATGTTATTCCTACACTGTGGAAGTCATTCGTGAATATTTGCTAAGTAAATATTTCATTACAAAAATTGGCATCCGCCTGCGGGATTCGAACACCGGCACTACATCGCTGTATATAAAGAAATCGAGCCTCTTATCTTTTAGGCCACCAATTCTGATGACCATATGAATTTTTTTAGAGGATTCTTACAACACGAATTGAGGAATTGTTCGAGATGATACCGGCATCTCGCTTTTACCATCGCACCGCCCGCCACCGGAGTGGAGTTCATCCGTACTACCTGGAGCCACTGCGGTCATCCACAGTGCGTTTCCAGAGATATTTTTTGCCACGTACCATCCGGCTATGGAATGAGCTCCCCTCCACGGTGTTTCCCGAGCGCTATGACATGTCCTTCTTCAAACGAGGCTTGTGGAGAGTATTAAGCGGTAGGCAGCGGCTTGGCTCTGCCCCTGGCATTGCTGAAGTCCATGNCCATCCGGCTATGGAATGAGCTCCCCTCCACGGTGTTTCCCGAGCGCTATGACATGTCCTTCTTCAAACGAGGCTTGTGGAGAGTATTAAGCGGTAGGCAGCGGCTTGGCTCTGCCCCTGGCATTGCTGAAGTCCATGGGCGACGGTAACCACTCACCATCAGGTGGGCCGTATGCTCGTCTGCCTACAAGGGCAATAAAAAAAAAACACGTAAGCATACAACACGTAGGGAGTGAAAGGCCAAAATTCTAACTAATAATAGTTTTAGTAATATAGGTTGTGCGTTATATATCAGTGACTCAGGAGAAGTAATTATGTAACGAATGCAAGGTTTCCAACAATCGATACTACTACATCGGAATCTGATCCTTTTCAATAGATACTGAATTCTGAAAGAATGACCGCATTTATTGTGATAAAATCTAACCTAAATAAAACAATAATTCATTGCTTCACGCACTGGATGGTTTGTAACAATGATACTTAATTGAATTCGCGATACAATGGCTGTTTGATATGTTTAGGTACTTTCGTGTTTAAAATACGGATTAAAAGAATAGATTATGTGATTCTGAATGCAGTAGTAGATCTATCTACTCTGGGATTACACGTACTATAACAACATTTTTGTTCTTTACGTCAAAATTACTTTTATGCTTGGGCCCTGGAGTTTGAGGTCACAAGGTGTCGACTACAGTACCTAAGTGTGTGATCCCATGGGTGGACTTTGATAATACAACACAGAAACCGATATCTCAAAGTTTTCGAAACTACAAAATTTGCAAAACGCGACGGTTGTCAAATTTGCTACCTGTGACGTCATTTGGGGCTAAAATATAGATTGAGCTGACCATAGATTACACATTTAATCACAAATGACGTCATGCGATATGATTCGGCTTATGTGCAAAAACCATTAAAGTTGCTCAATTTTATTTTGTTGCTTCAAATGTCACACATCTAAATACCAAAATAGAAAGATCACTTCGAAGTAAATAGTGTTTGCCAAATTATCGAAATTAAATCATATTCACTGCCAATACAAAGTATAAACTTCTTAATGACATTTATGAGGAAGCCTTAGCATATATTTTTGGATCAATGGAGCATCGTCTTTGAATTAAGTAGAAGAAGCTATACTTGGTTAATTATGTCAATGAACAATAAAAAAACAATTACATAACGCTCATTGTGTTGGAATCATCACGCAATCACCCGAGGTTAGGTCGGAGCCTAGTTAATGACGAATCTAAAAATATAGCGTGAGTTTTATATACGCAATTCCTGATTTATTTCATTGACAGTGAAAAAAGTACAGTTAATTGATATTTTGATCTGCAGCTGTTAATTAAATCCTTCTATTTGATCAACACGAGTGCTGGTGTATACTTTGAGAAGTATTCTCATTTATTAGTTTTTTATTTGGCAACCAAAAATGAGCTTTATTGATTTTGATTAAATGCGATTTACTTTGCCTAGTATCAAAGTTATAAAAATATCTTATTTAGCGAAACTCAATTTCTTTAACAAATTGTCAATAGAATACAAAAAAGATAACGTAATGTTTACCATGTTTTTAAACTATGAGTGTCAGTGGAAATAGTCAAATGTAAATAATTGGTAATCATTTAGTCCTCTGGAAATAGGTTCGTTTCTGAAACTCAAGGTGGATTAATGTTATAACATGACGTGCAACCTAACCCATGCCCGCTGAGTTTCTCGCCGGATCTTCTCAGCGGGTCGCGATTCCGATCCGGTAGTAGATTCATTCGCGAAGCAATTGCTCTTGAGTTGTTAGGTCCCTTCGGAGGCGCTCGGGCAGTTGTTAGCAAATCCCACCCCTCCTGGCTGAGCCTTTGCTCACCCACCTGTCCTGGTGAAACTGGAAAGGCCTCCGGGCCACCAGTAATACTTCAATCATAAAAAACCAAAAAATAAATAAATGTTATAACATTCAGAAAATACGTTAAGAAGTAAGTCTTCAATAAACAGATGCAACTATAGTTTTAAAGTGCAATACAAAGCAGTGAGTAAGGTCAATAGATGAACCGTCTCAAGTCAATAATACTCGATCGTAAAAGGTCATCGAACAGTGAAAGTATTGTTATAATCATAAACATCAGTGACTCAATGGATCTGTATTCGGTACAAGGTTCAAATACCTTAAGAAGATATGAATTATTATTATTACTGTCGTCTTAATATCTATACTTTGCTAAGGATTGCTCTGGAAATTCAACGAAACTAATGAATTTAATATATGCGCCATTGAGCCATAGGTTACAGACCAAAAAGGAATGCCTTGTGTAAGCTTGAATTGTATATTGCTTATAAGTGCTACTATGTGTATTTATTCACTAATCATTCACAATTCATCTAAAGGCAAAACATAAAAATGTAATGGGGTCTAGATTGCCCAAGACAGAAGAATGGGGATGATTGGTGGAGTTTTATACTCAAGAAGGGAACATAAATTAAAATATGGTTTGACTCTCCAGGTGGTATAGGCGTCTTGTGAGCCCTTACGGATACGTACCACCACCGTGTCTATTTCTGCCTTGAAGCAGTCATGCGCTTCGGTTTGTTTCGGTGGGATAGCCGTTGTACTGTAAAACTGAGACTTAGGACTTGGGCCTGCAAGTGGGTGACATGCGTTCCCAGATATGTCTTCTGCCACGTTTCGTCTGCTTTGTCTGAATGAATTCCCCTCCACAGTTTTTCCCGAGCGCTAGGACATATCCTTTTTCAAGTTAGTAGTAGGTAGCGGCTTGGCTGTGCCCCTGTCATTGCTGACATCCTTGAGCGACGGTAGCTATTCACCATTAGGTAGGCCGACTGCTCGTCTGCCTACAAGGTCAATAAAAAAAACCCACCTCGGGTCTTAATCTGGGTGATGCCACTCACTTTGTCCGTGAGTTTCAGTATCCACATGACAGTGGGTAAGCCGTAAAGTAATTAACTGTAAAAAGCCGTGACGAAAATGCTCACGCTGTTGATGCTGCTGAAGTTGGGCTTCATGAGGTCAAAGTCACAATTCGATTGGAATAACAGTTAGCCTTACTATCAATACGGAACACATGATTGGGTCACGACAGGATTAGGGACGATGTGTCATGTCTAAAAGTAGGTAACAGTATGTGGTCTACAGTGCCTCCTCTGCATGAGTCAGAAGCTTCGAGATTAGTTACGAAAAATTTGTTTTTCTGACGACGCAGGCTGTACTGTTATTTTTTTTTCATTGGACCAAACTCATTGACGGATATTTATATCGGCTGTGTCTTTTCGGCCTAGAATGGTACCACTCTATCTCTTCCTATGGCTGTCGTAAAATATGCTCAACTGACGGAGTTCAACGGAGTATGGACAGCAGCGTTCTTACAAGAGGTTCTACCACCAGTAAAATAAATAGATAAAATAGCCTGTAACAAATTTTAGTCATCAATACCGTGTTCAATGATTTTCACATTTGCATAAAAAGAAAATGCTTCATTGACGGAAAACAATAGGCCGAGCACATGTGATAGATGTTTCAAAGTCCACACAAGCAACTCACCTACTTAAAGTTCTGACACGTCCAATGCATGTACATACAGCGCCTGTCAAAGATATTGTGCTGTGAAAATGGTCATTAAAAATGTGGCTTTTTTGCGTCTGATTTAATTTGCCTTGGATTTTTTGCAGTAATGCTATAATGCTTAAATGTGTTTTTTTACACGCACGATGTGCTCGTACCAAGCGTTGCAGCTAGGTCTGTTTTCAAATGCTGTAGGTATCCCGTTTTCTACTAAATTTTTTTTGTTGTATATTTTGTACAATAGGCGGTCTTATCGCTAAAAGCGATCTCTTCCCGATAGAAGTTTTATTTACAGAAATTCTGAAAAATATACATCAGGTATGTTGCGGTGTACTATTAACAAACAATATCTAAAGTGGTCTATTATGTCTATATACCAAATATATCAAACATATTTACCTATATACGAGTTAAAGAAAAAGATCGTGTGATTTAAAATCAATTCCGCTAATTTTATAGATTTCCTTAAT